GTACCTCTGGTGCAAATTACTGACCTCTGTCATCATTTTAAGTGGGGGAACTTGCACAATCGGTGGCTGACTAAATACTTTTTTGCCCCACTGTATTTATAATCAAGAACAGAGTGACTGTGCCTTTGAACATAGACAAATGTTTGCCTGTTGTAGCATCGCATGGTTTAACAGAGCTGTGCTGTTCCTGTGTCAGACACAACATTCCCATTGGCTTGCATGCCAACCTGTCTGAAGGCATACCAGTGTGTCCGAGCCTCCAGCAGTCCTCCACGCTCGTAAACCAGCATGGCTTCTTCCATGGGAAGATGGGCTTTCGTCAGGCGTTGCAGAGAGGAGAACTCAGCATGAAACAGGTACGACATTAAAAACTAGAATTTCACTGTCAGTGAAAAATAAAGATCAGTGTAAAATACATAATGTTACACATTTTTATGCATCTTTATATGATCTTAAAATATCAAGATACAGGTAAACAAATGTTAGCGGTATGTGAGAGCAGGTCACATGGTGTGACAGGTGGGACTGTTTCCCACCTGTCAGGTGGTGGAGTGTGACAGGAGTGATAGTGGGCTCTGTCTTCTCCAGACATACAGAAACTGAACATTTAATAGTGTTTCCTGAAAAACAGTCTCAGCTGATCATTTCTTGACAACATTTCAGTTTACAGTAATGGATTACACAGCAGTGGGGATACATTTGATTACAGGAGATTACTTTCATTCTCCACTGCTACTCTCTTCATTACTGTATGTAAACACAGTGCAGAGCAGCTCCTCCCACAGAGGTCGATTATCTCGTAGTGTTACCTCCTCACTGTGTACCACTCTGGATGCTGCAGCTCCTCTGCAAACGAAGGCCTCACATTACAGGTACCTGAGTCCCAGGTGTAACTCTCAGACACGCACATGGAAGCAGATGACCTGTAAGCTGGAGAGGACAAAGCGTCTCGTTAATTTAGAAGGTTTTTATTTAGCCTGGAAAAACAGGTTGTTGCTTCATTTAAAAAGAGCTCTTTGTAAAGTAAATCTTTCACTGATTTAAGAGAATAAGAACAACCAGAGGTTTGCCTTCAGCACTGAAGGAGCGTCTGAACTCTGTTGAACTCAATGTTCCTTTAACATTAACTATTAATGGCCTCGTTTACAAATACAATTTTACAGTTAGAGAAAAAATGGACTGGTTCTTATATATACTTATTATGTCCACTCTGAGCACTCAAAGCGCTTTATACAACACGCCACATTCATACAAGCACTTTTTTCTAGAAGTGCTTCCTAACCAACATTCATACAGCTTGGGGTCAGTATCTTGCCCAAGCATATTTGGCACGCAGAAAGCCAGGGATCGAACCACCAACCTTCCAATCAGTAGATGACCCGCTCTGCCTCATGAGCTACACCAATACTGACCACAGTATTACCGAGATTAGAGCGCTGCAGTGGTTTGAATAACACTGAGCAGATCTAACAGACTCCAGTTTGATCGCTGGCGGATTCTGTTATTTCATTTTTACACTTGAAGGCGACTGCTGAGATTCAGCACTATGTGACTGAAACTGAAGCGTCTTCAGACAGTACCAGTTTGAACTTGGGGACAGCTGTCACGTTGTTATTGCTGAGTTGCAAAAACACCAGCCTCAGATTTTAAAACGACCTTTGTCTTTGAAGTCATGTGTCTCCATCACAGCTGTTTCCAGGTGTGTTTTGTTTCCTCCAAGGTGGAGCTGGAGTTGAGGGCCCAGGTCGGGCTTTTCGTGGAGCTGAATGGTCACCTACCCGAGCACATGGACGGACACCAACATGTTCACGTCCTCCCAGGTCAGAGGATCAGAGGATGAAGAGACAAAGCTGTAACTGCTGTAACTGCTGTTTGCTGCTAGAGTCAACAGCATTTACACATTGATGACTGATTGTGGTGATATAGCATGTTTCAGGTTATTTCCAACACGTCCCCATGGAGTTATGATACAGATTAATCATGCAAATGTGCACCTGTGTGTCTCTGCTTTTGAGTTAGCAGGTAAATGTGAACTGAAGGGAGGAGACCGTTAATGTTTGTTTGTCCTGAGGCAGCTGATTTTGGTTCTACTAATCAGATTCATTAATTTAAAAAATGTTTTTATAATAGAAAACAAACCAAGCATCCTGTCATCTGACCAGTGAAAAAGTTTGAGTAGTTAATAATATGCTATGTAAAAGAACAATGATTATATGGGCAGAAATATAATTTAGCTGAGAAACAAAGAGAAGTCCTGCTGTGCTCCAACGCAGAGCTTTGCTATCAGCTGTTGTTCCACTGATGCTTTTCTTCCATATGTAGGATTCAGTTCAGTGAGCGCTTAGCTGTTGGCTCCATTAAGAAGATGACAGCAGTGAAATGTTCGTGTTATGTCGTCTGTGCAGAGGTCCGTGAAGTGTTTGCAAAGGTTGTCTCAGATCTCAGGATCCCCTACACTCGTGTTCCCGTGGAGCCGGGTCTATACAGCTGCCCGTGGATACCAGCACACCTGCACAAATTCTACAAGCAGGTGGAGAAGGACGCTCTGGATGCCATCCCAGTGTTCAGACGCCATGGAATCAGGTCTGTTTGTATGAAACTGCTGGGACTAGACCAGGCTTCAAATTAAACCACACATATGCAGTGAGTGTCATCTCCAGTGTTGGCGAGTAACGGAGTACATGTGCCGCCGTTACGTATTTAAAACACAAAATATGAGTAACTGTATTCTGTTACAGTTACCGTTTAAAAGGGTGGTATTTAGAATACAGTTACTTTGTTGAAATAAATGGATTACACAGCGGTCTTTTCCTGTTTCACATGTTCGGCTATGCCCTCTGTTTTTGGTAATTCCACACTGGTGGAAACCCAAACAAAACACACAATATAGTAGTAGTAGTATTTATTTATTGTTTATTGGCTTCCATACAACCCAAGAAAAAGAAGAAAATAATAAATACCCCTTAAAACCCAAGTGTACATATTTAACCCAGTGTGACTCCAATGCAATAAGACAATCCTTAGCAATAATGTTCGTAGAAATTCAATAAGAGGCTCTGATGTCTGTGTCTCAGCCTCGCGTCTCATAATGTCATTTTAAAAATGATTCAATATGAAGGCAACAGGCAGAGTGTTACAGGCATCGCCCTAAAGCACGCAGCCTGATGGGCAGCGTAGTCCGTGCTGCAGGGAGGATGGACTGCTGTACCAGTGATGTGTCTGTGAGCGAGGAGGGAGGAAAAGGAAAAGTAGGAGCTGTCACCGAGCAGAAACGGGAGCTGGAAGCATGTAAATATAATAATAACCACTGCAGCCAAACAGAGAGCCTGACGAGCCCAGCTGTAAGTAAGCTGTTAAGACTCGACTGTACGCTGTGTTCCTGTTTTCCTCCGAAACAATAAGTTCTGTTGCAGCAGCCTTTCAACGCCTCTCTCTGTCTCTGCTAGCAAAGTGACCCAGACAACAAAGTAAAGCTAGTTTTCAGCTACGAGCCGACAGGGACCCGACGTATCAGCCAGAGGTCCTTTACTACGGTTCAGAGCCGCGGACCTGTTTTATATACGCGAGGAATAGTTTTCTATATGAGATCACCGCAAAAAGTGCAGCCTTACCTAATGTCCACCTACTGTTACTCATTCATATTAAGATCTAAACATCTAGTTGGTGTTGGTGTGGAGAGTAACCTTCAGTAATAGTAATAAATCACAGCAATAGTGCATTCATGTAGCTGTAAAAAGCATGATAATATATTAAGTAATCCAAAGTATTCAGAATACGTTACAAAATACATTTTGGGGCATGTAATCTGTAATCTGTAGTGGAATACATTTGAAAAGTAACCTTCCCAACACTGGTCATCTCTAAGGTTTTACATGTCAGGACATAAATGTGATCGAGTCCTTATCGAGGTTTAAACTGAATAAACCGGAAACGATATTTAAACAAAGCCCAGATGCAGACGCACCTCAGCACGGAGACGCCAACAGACGCCACCGTGCTAGCTTGAAGCGTCTGTGCACCCTCCAATAGAAACACACCCCTGTCTGATCCCACACTGACACTTTTAAACTGCACCTTCATGATGAACACACGACATGAAACTTCTCGGTCTTATTGCTTCATTGTCCAGAATTATCACACAGGAAACAGAAATCCTAAAAAAGCATTTCAAAATATTCAAGTACCATAAAAACAAATGTAACTGAAAACAATAATAATGCTGAGAAACATTTTACACACGCTATCGTTTATTCATCTATGAAATATCGTGAGTTGTACTTTTATTTTCTAAAGCTTCATGTTCGCTGTATATTTAAAGGAGACCTACTCTGCATAATAAACTTTAAAGGCTCTGCAGTTTGAACAAATGGGCCTCTGTAGTTTTAAGTTCCTGGAGCTGAACTAGCCCCACACATGACTCAGCTGAGTGGGTTCCAGTATGGACCTGCACAGCACTGCTTTCCAGAGCACATTGTGGTTTTTGCAAACCTGACCCATGCTGCTGTTCTTGCATGAACGTGTAGAGCTGTAGAGTCGGAGTGTTTTTGCAGTGACGTCCACTCCTGGGATGATCTTTGTCGAGGTGGCTTCTGTGCAGAAAGCAGCAGTGATTCATGATCTTTCAGATCCGTGCTGCTGTCTTTGCCTGTGTTTCTATACTAACACACATCTGACTGCAAACCTGCAAAAGCTTCTGCTTTTATAGAAGCGTTCATACTTATTGATGATCAGTTTATATGGTGCATGTGTTACCAGCACACGCTTCCCTCTGAAGTCCTGTGGAAGCAGCAGGGCTGGACTTTGGCTCCATGTCTGTTAGATAAACGATGGCACAGCTCAAGACTTTTGCACATTACTGTATTAGAACAAAGACAGATTTACTTAGTTTGCTACAAAAACAGGAAATAAATGCAGCAATTAAACAAATTTGTGAGCATACATGAAAAACACACCTAAGGCAAAACCAGAGTTCACACAACTCTGACCTGAAAGTCCGTATTTGGTGTGACCACCTCTATTCTCCATCACAGCCGGACTCTGTGGGGCGCTCGTGTTTTCTTTAAGTAGTCCTCAGAAATAATTCTCCAGGCTTCATCAGAGCTGGCTGCTGGCTGCTCTTTGTCCTGTTGTCTGTGCAGATGAGCCCAGTCAGCTCTACAGTTACTTTGAGTTTAAGCATCAGTGTCAGTGGTGGTGTTTCACAGTGCTGTCCAAACTCACCACACTTTCTTAGATTTTCTATTTGGCTCCAGACTGTCTGAAGTCTTTCTCTGAACACTGGCAGCGTTTCACTCATTTGTTCAGTGTGATGCTTGTTTTCAGAGGAAGCTACTCAACACTGACCTGTGACTCAGGACACAGCGATGAACCAGCGTTTCTACACATAACGCTGAAACGTAGTAAAGGACTAGCTGGGCTTTAGCAAAACACTTCAGTATCTTTGCTAAGATGTTGTGACAGGCTTAAGTGTCTCATTAGAGTTTCCAAAGAGCTGCTGGGCAGAGTGTGCAGAGTGTCTTTAAATAAAGGAAACTGGACAATTGGAGGACAAGAGAGTTTGTAGAGAGTTTCTGATGTTGCACATATGAGAAACGTAACGATTTTCCTCCTCCACAGGTGGCCAGATGTGTACCTGGGACTGACCACCATGGGGCAGAACATGTCCATCCCAAGCCTGCACAGGGCCCTCAGCTACGCCTTGGCTGCAAACCCTTCATCCTCTACCTCCAGCTCTGTGCAGGGTTCACATCAGCCTGTGGTCACAGCTGAGCTCATGGTCCACCCGGGGTACCCCAGTCACCCCAAGGAGGGAGGCTGTGGAGAGGGCCCCGACGACTTCTCCCAGTCTGCTGACAGGCAGCACGAGCTGAGTGTTCTCAAAGATCCGTCTGTGCTGGCTCTCTATTGCCAAGAGAGAGTGCAGCTCTGTGCCTTCAGAGACCTGTGACTGCCCTCAGCTTCCAAATGTTGCTCAGTTACCACTGATGTTTGTAGTAACACGACTTTATGCTGCCCTACAAACTGAGACTGATCCAATTAGCTGGTAGCAGCCTTTAATGAGTGGGACTGTCCATGACCGGCTCTGAGTCTAGCCTGAGGATGGCTGTCAGAGCAGCACATGATACACTGTGTAGAAATGTCTAATGAAGGCACAGCGTTCACTGCAACACTGTTTTAAACTAATGAATCATTTTACTAAAATAATCAGCAACATATGTTCAGAGCTCCCATCATAAGTATGTCTGGCTCATTATAGAATAAAGGAGCTGTATGTGTGTTCATGGCCCTGGTTTCCACCTGCTGAGCAGGGACACTTTTGAACTATCTCAGGTCTGGATGTGTGGAACTACAGAGAGCTTCAGTAGTCTTTATAGATATGTTCTTTGTATTTCAAAGCTCATATTTTCATGTTGAAACCGTTTTCTGTCTGCTGTCATCAAACATCAGAACTGAACAGCTCTGGGGAATAAATGATGGTGAACTTTTTTTCTTTGTTGTTTCTTTCAAACCACTTGCAGCGTAAACCTGATCACCAACAACAAATGCCTTAATTATCTTAAAGTGCCAGTTTTTGACTTTCTGCATCCATCTGTGGGAAGCTGCATGAAATCTAAATAAAACCAGATGCTGTGTTTGTCTGTTTTGGCTGTTTTTTGTCAGGGTTGTTTGCCATGTTAAAAATCAACTGATGATGAAATCTCCTGTTTATACTAACTGTGTTATTTAGAGGGTGCATGACTCTGCAGGTGAACAGGTGAGTTTGCTGTCCGTGATGGATTTAAAGCTGTTTGGGACTGGAACACAGTGTCAGCTGTGCACCTCTTGATTTTTGTAAGGTGGCACGCTGTGCGCGGCCGTCACAGCTGGATTAACGGCGTGAGTGTGCGATGGTGCCAGTGTTTACTACAGTTTTAATGATAATCCTGCACAGAAGCTCAGAGACGTACTGACACACAGTGTTGGAACTGTTTGAAAAGTTGAGTTTGTGGAAAGAACGTGACTCCTTCCTCTTACCAGCACGTACGTCTGAGTGACACAGCTGTCGCTCAGGAGAATACTGCAGTGGCTTCCTGCCTCTTAACAGTGGGCATAAATACAAGCGACTGAAGGCCCCTTCACACAGGACATCGCTGCACTCTGAGCAGACATCAAGACAAAATCTGTTTCAATCATCCAGGTAAGTAAAAGTTGATTCTGCTCATCTGGATGTTGTCAGTGGGAAAAGTGCACTTTGACTTTTGTGTTTCATCTATGAATCTTTATTTTCATGACTTATATTTTATATATCAAGTAGACCTCGTGGGTTAGTTTGTTGATCCTGCTGGGACCTCGGGCACTGGCATCGTTGGTACTCACTACCACAGACTGGTAGACCTCCCAACATCCTTCTGCACACATTATAGGATCTGAGCTTCCTTAGAAAGTAGTCTGCTCATGCTCTTCTTACAGTGGATGCAAAAGTATTGGGCCCACTTGAACTTTCCCACATTTTGTCACATTACAGCCACAAACATGAATCAATTTTGTTGGACTTCCACGTGAAAGACCAACACAAAGTGGTGCACACGTGAGAAGTGGAACGAAAATCATACATGATTCCAAACATTTGCCACCCAGAAGCCGATGTTGTTCACAGGACAGCAAGAGTCAACGATCGGGATGCTCTTGTCGTTGTTATCGTTCCCCTCCTACGTTTTATTTCCCCGATTTCAGTGTTTTTGCTTCACAACTAAAGCGTGCAGTTTACTTTGTGCACTAACATGGACTCGAGTCAACCAGCGCCACCTCTGGCCAAGTGCCACAGCCTACAGCAGGGTTTGTTTTCATTCAAAGGCTTTATGGCTTTAATACCTGGGGGGCCGGTCTGTAGTCAAAATGCCCGATTTTTTGTCCCAGTCCAGCCCTGCAGGTTAATACTGGCAGTGTCACCGTGCCAGCTGACTGTATTTCATCATCAGCCAGTGTTGTTCTTGATCAATGTTACCAAAGTTTACCATAAGGCAGCATAGAAAGTATTTACTTGCTTTCAGGTTTTATTCAAATGTTAGTCTTTTCAGTTGTTTCCCCACTTTTTTCCTGTTTCAAAATCAAACACCAGTTTGTGAGAAGATTAGCTTCTTTTTATAACAGGCAGATAAAGTTTTGCATTGGCTAATTTGCCAATTGTTTGTTACAAATGTTCGTATTTTAATATTCAAAAATGTTTTTGCCCAAAACATATGTGCACTACATGTCAGTAAAAATACTATGCAAGTATTGATGTCCTTGAATGCTGAATAAACACTGACTGATTGTATCTCTTGTACTTTATCAACGCAGTATCTAAAAACTTTGCACCGTAGTGGTTAAAATCTCATTCTAAGAAGAGTTAAAAGCACATTTGGTTATTAGGTTTATAGGGTTATTGAATTATGGTGAACGGTTGTTCTTGCTGATCGGCGTTGGCTTAGCCCTGGTTTATCGGAGAAATAAGAGAGCGGAACCGGCTGTTCAAACCCCCCCAAGGCTGCCTGCTGGAATCGAAATGGAACGAGGCGCGACCTCTCACAACGCACGTAATATGGTCAACACCTTGGAGACGCTTGCAGCTGCTGTGAAGGCTCAAAACAACACCATTGAGCGTATGAGGGGAAACATCAGAGAGGGGCCTGCTCAGAATGAGACCCTTGAGCGACAGTTGGAAGACATCGCGGAACGGATCACTGCAGCTGTGAGGTCTCAGAATCAAAAGAATGACAACACCATGGAACAGAAGTTTGATACCATCATGGGGAGGCTCGCGGCTCTCCAACGGGAGATCGAGAGACCAGTGTCAGTGTCTTGAAGAGCAGCCTGAAAATTCTCCTGGGCTGCTCGCATGGAAATTTACAAAATCAATATTAAAATTGCGGACCCCCATCACGGCGCCAGCTGCAGGCCCAAGGCTGGAGCCGAACAATCACTCCCTGATAACGACTGTGTTATGACTGTTCTTCCCATCCCATGCAAGGCCACCTGGGTTGGCTGGAAGACTGTTTACTTAGCCTGGCAGGGCGAAGGACACTGTCTCAGCTGAACTCTGGACACGCACACACATACTTACACTGATATGCACACACTCATCCCCCCTCCCTTTCCAAACGCCTTCGATGCTTGTGCCCTCCCGGGGAAGATGGCAGTCAACTGGACCAGCGCAGACATGCTGCAGGGCCGGATGCGCTGTCTACACCGGCTCTCTCTCACCCTTTACCCGCCCCTGTTGCTTGTCTTGTGTTTCTATGGTGTATTGATAGTCATGTGCTTTTGTGCTGAGGTGTTTTTTCTGTTATCAAACTGTTCTCCCACTAGGAGCTCAGTGTGAGTGGAGTTTTTTTCTCCTCCTCTCACCTCATGTAGTGTATTTTCGTTGTTTTTTCCTATCAGCCGACCTCTCTGACATGTCTGCCCAATGTGATGTTTGTGTAAAGTTGGTCAGAAGGTTCCTTTGTAAGTGCGCATGCGCCATTAGCGTGCTGCCTGCTGTAACCCTAATTTCCTTCGGGATTAATAAAGTATTCTGATTCTGATTCAGTTGGTCGAATATTTTTTAACATTATCTGCCAATTACATCTGCCACCCTTCTCCAAATCTGTGCCCCTACCTGGCCCCCCCAAACAAAAATTTTCTAGACACGCCACTGGAGGTGTGACGTGTGCAGCTGGGACACTACCGCGTGGGTTGTCTCACATGCTGCTGCCGCTGGCGAGATGTACACGGTTATCGCGATGACTTGCGAGAGCTCCCGCGGCAGGTAATATGGTCGGATGCTAACCGCTAAAAGCTCCACATCACGAGTAAAGTGCTGCTCCTTAACACTGATGTGCCCCGATTTACACCACCTCTCGTTCACACACATCACAATCCCCCCACCTTTCCTCTTGCTGTTCTCCTTCGCGTCCTGATCCGCTCTCACCAGGTGAAACCCCGGAACAGTCACGTGACAGTCTGGAGTGAGGTGTGTTAGCCACGACTCTATGTAGCACATCGTGCTAACCTTCCGGTGCTCCTGGAGTCTGGTCAGCGCCGCCAATTCCTCGATCTTACTGGGGAGAGATCTGACATCTCCCATAATGATCGAGGGTACAGATGGTTTGCACCGTCTTTCCACTCTGACACTTAGCTCCAGCTCTACGTGACTATCACACCCAACCACTGCAGTGTCATCAGAGGACTCACGTTTCACTGTTATACTGGAAATCTGAGGTGTACAAGGTAAATAGGAATGGTGATAGCACTGTAGTGCCCCAGTATTACTGACCACCACAACACACAGGCTACCCACCAGCCAGACAGACAGCGAGCCAGGAGATAGTAGAAGTGCTGACATCCCGACCAGCTTTCCACTCTGCAAAAGGGATTGGATGGTATTAAAGGCACTGTAAAAATAAAAAACATGATTCTTACAATGCCACCTTGCACCTGAGAGTGAGAATGCTGGAACAACAGGTAGATGAAAGCATCATCCACCCCCACAAAAGACTGGTGAGTAAACTGAGGTTTCACCTGCAGGCTAAACTGGGCAAGAACCGCTCCAAGCACCTTCATGACACGAGAACCAGTCTGGTCTGTCTTTCTTTAGTATTGGAACTAAACATGATGTCTTCCATAGTTCGACAACTTCTGCTGCTGGAGTCTCAGGTTGCAGATCATCTGCAGAGGCTTATTTGAAGAGTTTCAGTCAGGTTTCAGAGCTCAGCACAGAAACAGCTTTAGTGAAGGTTACAAATGATCTTCTTATGGCCTCTGACAGTGGACTCATCTCTGTGCTTGTCCTGCTAGACCTCAGTGCAGC